TCCGACTTCGTCCCGAATCAGGTCCAGGGTGGCCCTAGCCCCTGGAGGGAAACCGAGCTTTCGAGAAACATCAAATTCCCGCTCTCTCTGCAATCCAGCCCCCAGCTGAACGGCCAGCAGAGCAGGGGGCGTGGCAGACAGGTCTACTCTGAGGCCGTTGTGGTCTATCCAGAAACATGGCCCTTCGGCCCTCCAGCCAGCGCGCTTTAAACTGAGAGCCGCTCTAGAGATGGGCCCCTGGGATCTGTTCCAAGTAGGGCACTCCAGATGCTGACACAAATCCCAAAGCTTCAGAAGCTCAGCGCGTGAGACCAGCGAGAGATCGGGACGCCGCGAAGCGGTCCACATCATACGGCACCATTGTATAGCAGGAGCGATAGCATAGCGAGCACTACCATCCCCTAAAAGAGCGACTTTAGCCGTGAGTGAGACGCCCCCGTGAGAAGACCCCTCACTGCGGGCCATCATTCTCCTAAGGCTTAGCCACTCCGAGGCCGTGAGACCCAAGACCTCCGCCCCAAAACCACAGGCTGGAGCAACGCCTTGCTTGGACACCTTCTTAAACGGGGTCTCCTTGGGTCCCTTGAAACGCCTTCGGAGGGCTCGAACCTTGCGAATTCGCTTTTTCATCATAGCAATGCGGCCTTTCTGTTTCAGACGAGCTCGCTGTGCATGCCGTCGAGCGCCAGCAGATTCATCAATGCCAAGATATGCGGCACTCGCTTTGCAAACAGATGGTGGCAGCTGCAGAGCCGTGCAAACATCCCGAGCGAGCTCCTGAGAGGTGGAAACAATGGACAGCTTGCCTGGGTGCAGCTCCGCATTCAACTTCGAACTGGCCGCCTGGAACTGCTTCATCCCCGCAACTGCCGCTGACTTAGCTATTACATAATCACTCGAGGCAACGTGGAGGCCTGTGTCATCGATGTAGTTCTGGAAGTCCACGAACGGCGCCAGCTCGACGAAAGTGTCGAAGGCGTCGACGGCATTGACCTTGATCGCCAGGTCGCTGTAACCGTCACCTGCAGGTAGCCCATGAGTGGCCACCAAGGCCGTCTGAGCGTGGTGGCGCCCAAGTCGGATGACTCGTGGGCACGACCACATGTTGACAACAAGCTTCAGCCAACAATGTGGGGCTCCGTGGCGCTGAAACTTGCGTCGCAACTCGAGTAACGGAATCGATTCGTAATATTTGACCCAGTCAACTGTGATGAGAACGCCATACTTGTGAGCAGCTTGGCTGCTCTCTGAACGAGCCGCCTGCAACCATGCACAGTCAGTGGCCGATCTCCCACGGCTGGCACCCCAGTATCTTCTGTCAAGGGCATCATGCATGTGCGCAACCATGGGCTTGCGTGCTCTCTGCCACATACGGTATATGGCGGCATACAATATTATCAGACGATTACCCCCAGACGGCTTGCCCAGCATCGGCATCTGGATCCAGCAAAGCTGCTTGGGCAGCATGCCTATGGCTTCAGACGCCGAGAGCAGCAGAGCCAAAGTGTGAAGGCCGTCGTCATCGAGTAGCAGGAAGTGCCTCGGGTGGAAGTTATCATAGCTGGTGGCCGTCCCGACTGGAAAAGACAGGGCAGCACGACGCAGACCATCTGGCTCTAGGAGCGGGCACATCGACCGATCAGGTACCCAAGGAGGGAGAGCAGCATCAGAGGCATGCCACAGACGACGATACAGTTCCCCTTCCTGCGCAACAATAACAACAGGGTCGCCTGACTGAATACCAACTGCCACGGCTGGCGTCGGGATGGCCTTGACCTTAGCGAGTCGATGCAGGGGTCGAGCGCCGCCGCAAGATGCTGCGCTGCACCAGTCAGCCCATGCAGCATTGGAATCTTTAGTCTGACCTTTGACTGCCAGAGTAACATCGTCAGCAATATCATCAACAAAAGATTGAATCTGGTCCATGTCCATGGGGATATTATTGATGAGGTTTCGCGCCTGCACAACCGTGGCGTCTAGACGAGCATTGAGGCCTTGTCCTGGGTACGGTGACGTCACAAACAGAGCGATCTCCTCGGAGCATTGCACCATGGAATCATCTTTCACATATAACGCTTGGATCGTGGTGACCATGTTCTGCAACCACTGCCAGCCTTGACCAATACTCTGCATATCGTTCGGGTCCTTAGTCGGGTATGTCACATTGACCCACCGAGGCTCTAGATTTCTGGCATATGCACTAGGCTCACGAAGCTCCACTCCTACATTCTGCGCGATGTATTCAGCAAACGAAACAGCAAAACGCCCATACACACGTGTGAGGAGTGCCCAGACCACCGCCACGTCACTGCTAGGGTCAGCCGCAACCTCGACGGTGCGCTCAGCGAGGGCTCGGTGCAGCGTCCAGTCGATGGGCCTCGTGCGCGGCCCTGGCGGCAGGGTGACAGGTAACTTGGGAGAAACAGAGTACACATAGTGCTGCGCGTCCACCCCATTGTCAACTAGCTGCAGCTGCACAGGGCGATGAGCCTTTTTGTGCCAGGTCATGACCGAGTTGACTCCCCGATAGCCACGGACAACAGCATCATTGAGGCAGAAAAAGTCGATAGTGCTCGTGCCCGTGCCTCCTCGGAACGTCACATGAGCGGGGAAGGCCAGCACCATGTCCGCCCGCTGCGGAAAAAAGGCTTTGCTCCAGATCTGTCGGTGACATGTTCCAGTCGCCACCCATGATTGCAGGCCCAGAACATGCCGCAATCGCGCGGCCTGCAGTGGCTAACAACTCAGCATTGATTCCGACAGCCCCAAGGGAGTCTTGCATATACACATTGAAGATCGTGATGGGGGGCCATCCGCTGATGTCAACAATAACCTGCTGAAGGCGGTGGTCCCACATCAACTGTCCTTGAGGTGGATGCCGAAGGCCCAGTGCATCTCGAGCAAACACCGCAACTCCGCCTGAGGGAACGCTTCCTGACGTACGACGTGCAGGTATGGCAGAGCATTTCCACTGTCGGTTCTGAGCCCAGGAGTAGAGATCATCCAAGCTGTCCTCGGTGTATCCTATCTCCTGGCAAAGAAGTATCGTAGCTTTCGTCCTGTGCCATCGCGTCTTCAACGTGTCGCGGCCTCCCGAAGCATTGAAGGTTTCAACCAAGAATGTGCCTTGAACGTCAGGCTGCACAGGACGTCGAACAGCTCCACCACATAGCCGCAGACCTGACATGAGAGGAAGGTCAGGAACGTTTCCTGCGCTTGGCCATGTCGCCGAGTGTCTTGGCAAACGCCTCTGCACCTGACTTGGCCGCCTCGAAGAGCTGCTCTCTCTCGTCCTCCTCGAGCTCATCCAGGGAGCGCTTGAGGTCGCCGCCGCCGTCACCGCCAGCATTACCAGAAACATCATCAGGCGCCTGGGGCATGGAGGCATCCTTGGGGGCAGGCATCTTGCCTGCGAGGTGCGCACGGAGCTTGGCCCAGGCAGTAGACCCGAGCAGCGTTCGCACTTCCTCATCATCGACATCGTCTGGCTTGACATCGAGCGGGTTGGACTCTGGCTTGTCCGTGGTTGTGCCGCCAAGCTGCTGTGCTGCCAGGCTGACCTCGGCGCGCAGCACCGTGACCTCGATCTTCTTGGCCTCCAGCGTGGCGCGCTTGTTCTTGAGGGACTCTTGCAGCTCATCGAGCTGCTTCTGCTTCTCATTGATGTCCGCTTCCAGCTTGGTGACTGCAGCCGTAGCCTTTTGCAGATCCGACGTGGCCCTGCGGTGCACCACGGCGGGGGTGCGCATAGCCTTCTGCTGGTCACGTATTCCTTCAATCTTCCGCTGAATGCTCGAACGGAGTTCGTCGTTGTCCGAGCCGCGGGGGACCGACTTGAGACTAGCCTCGAAGCATGCCAGCTGGTTCGCAAGCTTGCGCTTCTTGGTCTCATCAGTGTCGTCGTCCGCGATGGTGTTATCCTTCTTGGGGTCAGCACTGGCCTGCCACGGTGGGGGTTTGGCGCTGGCCTCGCCCTCCTTGTCAGCAGGCTGGGTTGTCTGCCCGCGCAATAGCTTCTCGATCTCCGCCAACCGTTTGCCGAGCTCAGACGGCACAGTCGACGATAGGGCCCGCTGACTGGGGCCCGCGCTCTTGCCCTTGCCGCCTCGGCCACCGCCGCCAGCAGCATGCTCCTTCTCCCAGCGCTGGTGCTGCTCCACGGCCGTCTTGCGGATGCGCAGCGGGGCCTCCCGCCCACAGGCGCATCGCACACGGCAGGCCCAATTGGAGTGTGCCACGCCGCAGGCCCCGCAGGCCCACGTCGGCCACCTGGGGCCGCGCAGGACATCAGGCAGGTCAGGCGGCGGCGGTGCCATCGGCCGCCGCACTGGGATGGAGCCAGCACTGTCGGGATGATCGTAGATATTGGCCCGCAAGCACGAGCCGCACTGAAGATACGTGCTTGCAAGCACAGGAGACTCGCCTGTGCCAGTACGGCTAGGAGGAGGAGGAGGAGGAGGAGGAGGAGGAGAGGGAGGCAAGGCGAGGCGAGGCGAGGCGAGGCGAGGCAAGGCAACGCAAGACCTGAGCAGCTGCTGTCCCTGCTGTCCGGCTCTCCTCCTCTGCTGGGTGTGAGCTCTAGCCACGACAATTGCTGCTGGTGTGATCAATGCGCTACTCGGACAAGGTTGGGGGTGGGAAGGGGAGTGGCAAGGGCAGTGGGAACGCACCTCTCTGGGATGGCGCGGAAAGGCGTCGCGTGATTTCACTCGCGAGAGAAGCGTGCACGTGGCTCGAGGAGCGAGGGCGAAAGGTACATTCGGGGCACCACCATACTCCTCGTGCCGTCCCCTCTGCACGGCTTCGGCAGCCCCCCGATCTACATCCTCGCGCCGCGAGGGCCAGAGGACGAGGCGAGGCACAGCGGAGACGAGCGAATGAGGACGAGCGGGAGAAAGCGAACGAATGGATCGGAGGAGGCGAAGCTCGAGGACGACCCTGTGGAACCAACAACGCCATCTCGGTACGCACTTCAACGGGCAAATGGGCACTGGCTACTTTTACTCAGCCCAATCGGTGATCCGCCATATCAGTCCTCGATACTGCGAAAGGCTCAGGCCGAGCAGCTGCAATGCACGGCGATTGGCAGCACAAGTGGCTGCCAGAGAGACCACATGCAATAGCTAGCACACTAGGGCACGAATCGTGGGAGCAGATACTGCCGCTCGGCAACATGATTCGTATCGTCGAGCTGTCAATTCCATGGGAAGCTTGTGGCGGCGATGACCCTTGAACACGACGACGCTGCTCGCAGAAACAATGGCTATGTATGGCTATGGCGTGACAGTGACGGCAGCGACTGTGACATTTAAGTTCCCAGCAGGAGAGAAGGGATCTCACGAGCGTGACATTAGTAGCCCTGCTATGGTAGCAGCAGGGGGTGGTCGCTGAGTTTACTTCGATAAGGACACGGAGGCCACCCCCGACGCTGTGAGCTGACAGAGGAGTTGTGCGAACGCGCGCGGAGCAAAACTCTCAGCTGAAGAAGCTGTCGAAGTCGCCGGACGAGCGAGCCTGGCACGCCCCCCCACCCCATGCGAGGACACCCGACCACACCAGCATGGTGATAGCTCGCGCGCGTGCCGTGCGCATCACGGGCCGAGTGGGAAGAGATCGCGATGCAGATGCTGAGCCCCAATCGAGAGGGGCTCCCAACTACAGTCGAGGCGTTGACCTAAGGAACCTAAAATAAGGAACGAGGCCCCTTTTTCCATAAGTTAAACTTCGATTTCCCATCGAAAACATAAGGAAAACCTGAGGCAAGCTGGGAAACACTTAAGGAACACGGAGCCCCTTCCACAACGAAAAGCGTTCCTTCTTCAAGGCCCCGACTGTAACGCATCCAGAACGGACTGAAATCCAGCAGCGAACGCCACACTGCCTCCCTGCCAAGCCGACGCCACCACGACTGCACTCCCGTTCCTGCTCGCAGCCCCTCCACTGCCACTGCCTGGAGCTGAGACACCTGGACGCAGAGGCGAGGACGGGGGGGGCCATCTCTGGACGGCCCGCGTCGGGGCGAACGACGAGAAGAGGGGGCGGGGTAGCAAAGGTATTTGTCTATTCAAAGGAAGCCGCCGCATGCAGCTGGCTTTGGCTTTGGAGGCGCCGCGAGGGACCGTGCTGTCGAGGAGCGCATGCAGCAACAGTACTGTCCTCCCCCCCGGGCCGCCGCCACTCGCTCTTGCCCCCCCCCCTCCCCCCCTCTCCCCCCCGTCTTCGTAAACGACGAGCGTGGATTGCAGCCAGGCTGGCGGGGAAAGGGCAACCGAGTCTGATCGCATGACTTCCGAGCAGTCGACGCGAGTCAAACGCCACGTCGTGCCTCTGTCCAATCGGGCCTTCCCCTTCAACATCAGCTTCCGACCTCCGCCGCATGATGTTGCATCATGCACAAGACGGCTGCGTGCGGACCATTGTTTGGCATGTGTGTGCTTCGCGAGTTCGGACCTGCCTGTGGGCATCCCTCGCTCCGAGAAGTCCAGGAGTCGGCGCGTAACAGACACTTCAACGGCTAACAGTTGAACTTGTTGGCGGCGCGCACGAGGGGGAGCGACATGGGGGCGGCCTCTTGAGAAGACAGGGGGCTTCAACGACCCCCCCCCATTTTCTCCAAGCTAGCAGATAGCAAGGAGTCTGCTCAGAAGCCTCGGCCCCCCCAAGAAACGCCCTGCTTCCTCAGGAGCCCCTCGCTTTCTCTGGAAGTACAGAGAAACGGCATAGACTTAAGTCGGGCGTGTCCCCCTACAGGGGGGTTGTGGACGAACAATTATAAAAAACACTCCAACATGGCCAACAAAAAAATACTCAACAAAAAATAGTCCCCGTACGATGTTTTGACTATGTTTGAAGATTCCTCCTGTAGAGGGACAAGCCCGACTCAAGCAGAGACATCAGCTTCCCCAGCCCCGCGCGGCCTTTCTTGTGGCGGCGCCGGCCCCCGCTCCCCGAGCGCGCACGAGCGCACACCGGGGGGCCGCGCCGCGGAGAAGGGCCCCAGCGCCATGCCACGGAATATGTGCGGAGCTGTGACAGTTCATGGCTATACCGATTCGCTTCCTCGATAGGGTTGTGTTGCTCCGATCGTAGCCTGTATTTTTCACGCGACCTGTCTGGATCTCTTCAGGCACAGATTTTTCGTCTGATTTTAGACCAGAGGACTTGCTAACTTGCCCGGCGGACGCCGCCAAGGACTACATGCTCCGATCGCACTTCAGGACCACATCCCAGAAATCATTTCGGGCACCCCGAAAGAAGTGCCGAGAGGGTGTTGAAACGGTGTCGAAACAGGGTCGGGCGAGTGTCTCCCAAGGCCCGACACGCGAAAACCCTTGAGTTCCGGTATTTTTTGGGGGCTCGAGATTCTGTCTGGTGATCAAGGCTAAAGTAGGTTGGAGCATCATAACTTAACGATAGAAGGTCGCCGGCTTGTCTACAGGCCCGCCCCCCCCCCCCCCTTATGGGCAAGGCTGAACCTGAACGGTGTTCTTCGCTTTCGGTTTGTGTTCGTCTTCCTCGTTTTGTCTTCAATCCACCTCTACCGCAAAACAAAATCGAAACGAAAACGGCCCACGAAATCGCCAAAACACCGTTTAGGTCCAGCCCTGCCTATGGATTCCGAGGATCGCGCCGCATCGTCGACGTCAGCAGTGCATCGCCGACGTCGACGTGGTGAACATCTGTCTCTACACCGATTAGCATCGTCGATGCATCGGCAATGCGGAGCGATTCCTCGACCCCATCTGCTCGGACCTCATTTGGGAGGCCGAAATTGCATAGATAGTCGCCACTCCCTTCCGGGGAGACAGGAAAGTACAGATACCGTTACTCCCCGGACATCTCCAGGGGCGCGTTCTGACCAGGACTTCGAGACAAATCCAGAGGTGGCGACGAGGACCACCCTGGAAGCTTAGAAAGGCGAAAACTGGGAAAGGGTAGCGGTACGTGCACGGTCGGGGCGCAGCCCTGAGGAACCCTAAATCAGGAATGAGGTCACTTTTTTCCCTAAGTTACACTTCGATTTCCCATCGGAAACCTGAGGAAGACCTGAGGCAAACTGTGGAAAGACTAAGGAACACGGAGCCCCTCCCCGACGGAAAGGGTTCCTGCTTCAGCGCCCCGACTGCACCGATTCCTCATCTGTCGGCGGTGGACAAACCTCCCTTTAGTAAACCACCCTTTAGTGAAAACGGCCTAGGACCGAAACCGACGGACCTGGACCCGCAGAAGTGACGGCCGCGACGCCCTCTCGCGAACCGAAAACGGCCGAGTCGCTAATCGACGTGTCAGGGTAGGAGGTCTATCCAACTCCGAATCTGGCCTCCGTGCGAGGAGGAGGAGGAGGAGGAGGAGGAGGAGGAGGAGGAGGAGGAGGAGGAGGAGGAGGAGGAGGAGAGGAGGACGAGGAGGAGGAGGCGGGGGAGGAGGAGGAGGCACAAGAGGAGGATTCGGACGAGGATGAGGAGGAGGACGAGGCACCGGAGCGGGGAGCCGCTGCGCGGGCGAGCACGCGCGAAAGCACGAGAGCGGCCCCGCGCGCTCGCCCTGCTGGGGGCGAGCTCCCGCCGGGCGGGGGCGCGCAGCGAGGGGCTCCGGGCGAGGCGTGGCATGCGGCGCGGTGGCAGCAGGAGGAGGAGGGGGAGGAGGAGGAGGAGGAGGAGGAGGAGGAGGAGGAAGAGGAGGAGGGGGAGGAGGAGGAAGAGGAGGAGGGGAGGAGGAGGAGGAGGAGGAGGAGGAGGAGGAGGAGAGGAGGAGGAGGAGGAGGAGGCACAATAATCGCGCGGGGAAGAATCACGACGGGAGGTTCTGGGCAAAGCTCGGCCTCCGAGAGCCCTCGCTGGGCCGCAAGACCGCCGAAAAGAGCTCGGGATAAGAGAGCAGTCCCGGGGAATGGGCCTCCTCCTCCTTCTCCTCCTTCCCTCCCCCTCCCCTCCCTCCTCCCTCCCTCCTTCCTCCTCCTCGCCCTCCTCCTCCTCCTCCTCCTCCTCCTCTCCTCCTCCTCCTCCTCCCCTCCTCCTCCTCCTCTCATCATCATCATCATCATCATCATCATCATCATCACCCTCACCCTCACCCTCCTCCTCCTCCTCCTTCTCCTCCTCGCCCTCCTCCTCCTCCTCGTCCTCCTCGTCGTCGTCGTCCTCCTCCTCCTCCACGTAAAGAATTGCCATGCATCGCCTGTCTGGGTTTTGCACCCGTGCCTACTGTGCAGCGACAGAGTGACAATCGTCCGGAAGCAGAGATGCGTGCATCGTGGAGGCCAGAGGCGCTCTCTGGATCCTCCCAAGGCTCCGTGGCCCCTTGCCACGTGCTGGCCCTGAGGTGCCAGGACGAGCTTACCGAATACTGAATCCAGTATCTCGCAGCCAGCAGGTGGTCAGGGGTGCAACAACAATTGGCCTTTCGCGGTGCCTGGATGAGATAGGAACTGATCCGGGGTCCAGCCTGCCTGGACCGACTCTGCCAATCAACAACCACCAGGAAGCTGGAAGCACACATGGCTGCATTCACATGTGCAGCATGTGCCCGTCGTGCCCTGCCACAGAAGGGCTGAACGATGCCAAAGACCTCTGGCCACGTGTGTGTGTGTGTGTGTGCGTGTGTGTCCAGCTCTGGGCAAACGACCGCGCATGGTGGCGGGCTTTAACGAAGCCCTGAACCACCCAAATAGGGTGGGTGGTATTGGGGGATGACCTGACCCTTTACGGCCCTTGTCTCCCCCCCCATTGAGGTCACCCCCATTACGGTCGGACCTCGAACATATCCACATCTTTCAAGAACATGGGGCCCTCCGCCAGCCCAAACACCCCGAACCACAAGATCACTCGAGGGCACCCCTCCCCAAGGATGCACGACAACATCCAATGCATACGAAGAACATTCGGGCACCCTCCCCAAACCGAACTCGATCCTATACCTCCGTCCGACCGCACAGCCTGCCCGACCAAAGCATGCACCTCTTGGACGCCTGGCTTTGACTTCCGCCGTCCTCCGGCCTTCGCCCTCTCCGCCGCCCAACGCCGGCGGAGCCGCCCCCGCCCTCCGCTGGCCCCGTCCGCCAGGGAAGCAGCGCCAGCTCCCTCGACGGCCTCGAAGGCGAGGCCCCTCCTGGAACGCCCCGCGTGAGCGACGAGGCGGAACGGGCCTTGCGCGAGCTGGCATCGCGGCACTGCGCGGTGGCTTACGCGGGCCGCCAGCGCGGCACGCTGCATGGGAGACGAGGGCACGTGCGCGCGACCTCACGCGGGCGGCCTGCGCGCGAAGGCTGGCACAATCGGACCCCTTCCTCTGCGTCGCTCAAGTGCGGACTCCTTCGGCTCACTCGAGGGCGACGCCCTCTCTGGAACGCCCCATGCATCTTCCCCGCAAGCACCACGGGTGACACAACCATCGGGGGCGGCCAAGAGGGGGGCGTCCAAGAGGGGGGGCGCAATTCATGACCGGCGGCAGGTGCGCGGCCCAGGGGGGGAGCCAAGGAAGCAATGAAATACGAAGAGGCGCCATGACATGTGAGGAAATATCATCGTCCACGCCATGAGGTCCGCCCACCCCTAGTCATCACTCCCCCCTCTATGCCGCCCCAGAAGCCACAGCGCGGAGCAGAAGGACGCTAGGCAAACCGGGAACACCGCGCAAGCCGACCTGCCATGGGCAAACTCATGCCACGAGCCGTGGCCTGAACAGCTCGACTTCTGAAACGCCCCGTGCGTACCCAGCCCTCGCCCAAGTCGGCCGCGGCAATGCCATCCAGCTTGCTGGTGACAGTCCTGCCGTGTGCGCGCGGGGAGAGCAAAGCGTTCCACAGCGGGCGGCGCCTCGGGATGAGGGGGGGGGGAGCGCGGGGGACGCGAGGGCTTCTGGCCCCTCTGGGGCCCCAGCTTCGCCCCCCCAGCCCCGGGGACACCGACGGCAACGCCTTCAGCACGATGGAGGCAGCCCTTGTGAGATCGTGGGAACGATGGGGTAAGGGCTACTGAGCCCACTGGAGGGGTAGAGAAAGCGGACTAAGCCGGATTAGGCCTGACGAGGATCCAGTCGAAGCCGAGGATCAAGCGGGACTGAACAGCACTTGGTCACATTCAGCGGGTTCAAGCTGGAGCTTCCCCCAAGGATGTGCCAACGCCGATGACTGATGCTTACCTATTTAAGAGCTGCTTCAGCAGGGTCAGCACGATGGAGAACATTTGGTCGGTGCGTCGGCCAGCGTCGCGCCTATGTGTCGAGATCTCGCTGCCCTTCGCTAGAAGACTCGGGGACTACATTGACACAAACTTTCGTAGCTCCGCACGGAGATGTTGGATCGGCGCTGGCTTCCCCCCATGGCGCAGCCCCTGGCGCGCAGAGAGCGCGCCTCAAAGGGCCGAAGGTTTACTCGGGGGCGTTCAAGCGGGGGGCGTCCAAGGAGGAGGGGTTCGCCAATCATGGCCCGAGGCATGTGCGCGGACCAGGGGGGGCCAGGGAACGCACTGAAATACTGAAGAAGAGCGGCCACGAACTCTGGGGAGAGATCCTGGCCCTGGTCATGATGCCCCCCCTCTGGTCCTCCCTCCCCTCCTGGGCGCCCCCGATCTGCGCACGTGCCGCAGCCTGCTCCTCCCCTCCTCCTCCTCCTCCTCCTCCTCCTCCTGCTCCTCCTCCTCCTCCTCCTCCTCCTCCTCCTCCTCCTCCTCGACCCCCCCCCCCTGCGCCACTCTGGGCGGGGGGGCGCGCGCCTGGGCCGCCGCGCCGCTCGGCCCGCTGGCGCCGAAGGCGCTGTCGAAGTCCAGCATGTCCTGGCGGCGCGGGGCTCCCCGCGCGCGGGGGGCGCACGCCAAGGCGCCCCGCCCGCGCCCGGAAGGCGGGCGACACCGCCTTCGAGGGCACGGGGCCTTGCAGGAGGGGCCTGGCCGCGCGCGCTTCGCCAGGCACGGCGGGTCTGGATGGCGAGAGAGAGAGAGAGAGAGAGAGAAAACGAACGAACGAACGAACGAACGAACGAACGAAGCTGCGGACGCCGGGAGTCCGGCGACCCTACGAGGGCGGCAGGTGCGCCAAACGCGCTGGCCTCCGGGGAGGCCGAGTAGCTGATCAGGTGCGAGACAACTACATGCAGCCAAACGCTGCTGCGAAGAAGCCATGCGCTCCCCGCAAGGTGATGCAGATAGATCGATGACGAGAGAGAGAGAGAGAGAGAGGGTGATCAAGAGAGAGGGAGAGAGAATGAAGGAATTAAACCACTGAAAAACCCCAATCAGTGGATGGTTTTCGCAGAGAAGATCGACCGGGAACCCGGGAGCCGGGGAACCCAAAACGCACCGAAATCGGCCCGGAACCAATGACCGGGAACCCGGGAATCCGGAGCCGGGAACCCAGGAACCCAGCCTGCCACCAAAATCGGCGGGAAACTTTCGCCAAATCTTCCAACCTCCACTGGGACACCTTCAGTGCAACCACTGATTGGGGAACAAGAGAACGGCGTGGACATGAGCTGTCGGCGCTCCGCGCAGATGTCTTGGCTTCGCGCTAGAACCCCCTCCCTGGCGCGCGGAGCGCGCCAGGGGCGGTGCCGCAGGCGCCGCCAGGGGGGCCCAGCGCGGATCCAAGACATCCGCACGGACATTCGACGATTCATGTTTTATGGGCGTAGCCTGTAACTCGATGTCCAGGAAATAAACTGACTGACAACTGAATCACCGAGGTAGATAGATGGCAGCGGTATTTTCGGGGGAGATATTTCGGTGGTGGTTTGCAGGCCAGGGGGATATTTCGCTGGCAATTTTAAGCCAGGGGCGGTGAGGATTTTTCGTTGACGTTTTTAAAGCCAGGGATTGAATATACTTCGCCGGCAATTGTAGGCCGGGGGTTCGGGATATTTCGTTGCTAGTTTAAGCCAAGGGTTTGAAGATTGTTCGGTGACAGGTTTAGGCCACGGGGTAAGGACATTTAGCTGGCAGTTTGAGGCCAGGGGCGGCGAGGACTTTTCGCTGGCAGTTTCAAGCTAGGGGTGTGAGGATACTTCGCTGGCAGTTTTAAAGTCACGGGATCGAAGACATGTCGCTCGCATCTTCCAGCGAGGGGTGAAAGGATATCTAGCTGTCAGCTTTAAGGCCAGGGGTCGGGGACATTTCGATGGCCGTTTTATACTAGGTGTGAGAATATTTCGCTGGCAGTTTGAAGCGAGGGGCGTGAAGATACATCACTGCATTATTTTAGCCAGGGTTTGAGGATAGTTCGGTGACAATTTTAAGCCAGGGGGTGCAGATTCCTCGCTGGCTGTTTTATTCGAGGGTGTGGGGATGTTTCGCTGGCAGCTATAAGTCATGGGGTGAGGATATTTGGAAGAGGAGGAGGAAAGGAGCAGAAGGAGGAGGAGGAGGGAGAGGAGGGAGCGGAGGCGGATAAGGAGGAGGAGGAGGAGGAGGAGGAGGAGGAGGACGAAAAAGAGGAGGAGGAAGGGGGCGGTGGGGGAAAGAGGATACCGACGTCGTGAGTGGGGGGAGGCTGGCGGGGAAAGGGGAGGGGGAAGAGGAGAAAACGGGGAAGGCGTCGGACGAGGGAGCGATGGACGGCAAGGAGGGCAGAGGAGGCGGAAGACGAGGAAGGAGTAGGAGATGGAGGAGGCGGCGGAAGGAGGAGCCGGAGGAGTTGGACGAAGGGAGGGGATGGGTGAGAGGGAGGGCGGAGGACGAGGACGAAGAGGAGGTGGCGGAAGGGGGGTCGGAGGTAGGGCCTGAGGAATCGTGGCCCGTGTGGGCATCCGCGCGCCACGCGATGCAGTGTTGGGTTTTGCCCTGCCTGGTCCAGCCGAAGGCTACGCATGCAGCGCGGTGCTGCGCCCGTATATATGCTCGCCCCTTGGCGTGGGGCTGGTGGGCGCAGAGCCCACGGGTCTCTGGCGGCGGTTCGGGCCGAGCAGCGCACCCCTGGAATGCCCTCGGCGAGGCGAGGCTGCTGGAGCGCATCCCGAGGCTGGAAGACGTCCAGGAAACCGACTGAGCACGCACGCAGACCTCCAACCTCGAACCTGTCGCCCGGCGAGGGCTTCCAGAGTAGGGAGCCCACAAAGGATGTACGCGCCCAGCTATGTACATGAACACGGCCCCTTGACCCTCGAGACCTGCCGCGCGATACGAACATTCGCGCAATGCGAACTCTCGAAACCAGCGTGGATTCATGTACATGTACGTCCTTCTTTCGCTCCTGACAGAGGCTGAGCACGGCGGCGACACCTCTGGACTGGGACGCCCGAAGTGGATACGGACAACAAGGGGCACACGAAGCCCAACAGCACGTGTTGTCCAAAACCGGCAGCGGACGCTGCTGGGCAGGCGACCTCCCGTCTCGAATGGACAGCGCCCGCGGCGCGGCACCGACAGCGAGCCCCCCTGCTCAAGATGGCTCGGAGCTGCTGTCGGCCTTCGTCCCGATTCGGGCGTTGACAGAACCGAGTTTATCGGAACCTGGTCCAGTGATGCGTACTGGGGGGCGCCCCCCCCCGCCCCGCTCCACTGCCCGGAACTGCCGTCACCCCCCCCAAAAAAAAACAGGCTACGGCAGACCTGGTCTAGTGAGCCTGGCCAACTCAGGGGCTCCAGGGCCCTACCACGGCCCGGGCCCTATACCCGGGGCCCTGGCCATACCCGACCGATTCTTCTCGGGTCGGGCGAAAGGGGGGCGTTGAGAATCAGCTCACGTAGCTGATTTTCCCGGCGCCTCCCGGCGCCGGAGGCGCCTATGCATCGAGGAATGGGCCCCTCGGTGGGGCCGAAGCCAGCTGCATGCAGCAAATTTTGGTACCCCCCCTTCCCCAATCCCCCCTCTCGTCCGGCCCGATCTTCTCAACCCATTACTGAAGGGGCCCTGAGACACACAAATAAATAAACACGAATACAAGGATGCCCGATATTTTCACGTCTTTTCTGGGTTCTTGCCTTCCCCCCCCCACTTCCCCTATGTTCCCATCTTTTCCTGGGAGTCGACGATTCATTGTGTCTGTGTGATTTTTCCTCTCCTGAATTACGATCGCATCGGCGGGAGGCGGAGGAGGAGGAGGAGGAGGAGGAGGAGGAGGAGGAGGGCGGAGGAGGAGGAGGAGGAGGAGGAGGAGGGCGGAGGAGGAGGAGAGGAGGAGGAGGAGGAGGAGGGAGGAGGAGGAGGAGGAGGAGGAGGAGGAGGAGGGGGAGGAGGGGAGGAGGAGGAGGGAGGAGGAGGAGGAGGAGGAGGACGATCGCATCGGCTGGAGGCCGGCGGCCGCGCCTGTGCCGGCTGGGCGGGCGCCGCTGGCGCCGGCGCCGGCGCCTGGGACGCGCCGGGCGGGGGCGGCGGCCTCGCCTGAGCGCGGCCGGGCCGGCCAGGGGCGGGGGGGGGGAGAGGGGAGGAGGGGAGGGGGAGGCAGGGGCGGGGGAGGGAGGAGGAAGAGAGGAGGAGGAGGAGGAGGAGGAGGAGGAGGAAGGAGGAGGAGGAGAGGAGGAGGAGGAGGAGGAGGAGGAGGAGGAGGAGGAGGAGGGAGGAGGAGGAGGAGGAGGAGGAGGAGGAGGAGAAGAAGGGGGAGGAGGGGCGGGGGAGGCAGGGGCGGGGGAAGTGGGGGATGGGGGGGGGGAGGGGGGGGAGGGCAGGGGCAGGGAGAGGGGGAGGGGAGGCAGGCAAGTTAGGTGCGCTCGCGTCTACATCTGACATCCTACCCCTCCCTCCCATCCCTTACCATGGCGCTGATTTTCTCTATCCGGACGCGTGTCGTAGCGGACCTGTGGCTCCGCGCGCGTGTGCGTAGTGGGTGGTGGTGCGCGTGCGTGCGTGCGTGTGTGCGTGGTTGTGGTTGTTGTGGTGGTGGTGTGTGTATGTGTGTGTGTGTATGTGTGTGTGTGTGTGTGTGTGTGTGTGCGTGCGTGTGTGCGCGTGTGCTGTGGTGTGACGTGGTGTGGCGTCCTGGTGGTTTGGTGGTGGGCCAGGTGCGTACGTGCGTGATGGCGGTGGTGGTGGTGGTGGCGGTGGTGTGTGTGTGTGTGTGTCTGTGTGTGTGCGTGTGTGTGTGTGTATGTGTGTGTGTGTGTGCGTGCGTGCGTGCGTGTGTGTCTGTGTGTGCGCGCGTGTGATGTGGTGTGACGCGGTGTAGCGTGGTGGTGGTGGGTGGGGTAGTGCGGTGGTGGTGGCGGTGCGCGGTGGTGGTGCGCGTGCGTGCGTGCGTGCGTTGGTGGGTGGAAGTGGCGGTGGGTGTGCGTGCGGCGGGGCGGGGCGTGGTGCGGCGCGGTGGTGGCGGGCGGATGGGCGCGCGAGAAAGAGGCCCGCGCTGGGGCGAGAACGCCATCCTGAACGACGGAGGCAAACACCGATCCGAAAATGAGGCCCACGCTGCAGCGGGAGCACGATTCGGAACGATTCGGGAGCAGAAATGAGGCCGGCGCCTCAGCGAGAGCAGCATTTTGAAAAAAAACGCAGGCGAAAACCCAACTCCCGGGAATCCTGTGTGTAAAAAACAATACGCGGGGGGGGGTCTACTACTCCCAGCGGGCCATCAGGGGAAGAGGGAGAGTAGTATTCATATTGAGTAATTGTGGAGGGGAGGGGATGGGGGGGGGAGGCACGGGCAGGGAGAGGAGGGGAGGGGGAGAAGGGGAGGGAGGATGGAGGAAAGAGGGAGGCTTTTTTTCATGATGGATCAATCGAGAGAAGAAGACAACACCGAGACTCCAGGCCTCGAGCGAGCAGCGGGTGCCGCCTGCACGCCGCAGAGCTGCACGGTACCGCCCAGGGTCCGTCCCCCAGGCTGGCCCTCTCTTTTTTGGTTCGACGGGCGCCTCTGCTCCGCAGCCCGCCTCCGGCGGGATCTGGCCCTGGGCGACTGGAGGAGGGGTCGGAGGCCCCTGCCTCCCTGGGCACAGGAACGGCAGTACCAGGGGTGATGGGGAGAGTATAGACTTGTGGGTGCCACGACACTGGACTACCTAACAGTCCCATCCTCGAATTAAAGATATGTTTAAAATGTCGGAATATGTCCTAACAGTGCTTCAAACATGTTTTTAACAGTTGAAACATTATTAAGACATCTGGAAATCATTTGGCAGCATGCTTCCTCTCCATTGATCGTCCTCCACAAGTATAGAGAGATACCACACCTCCGACGATGTGTGTGTGTGCGTTTCTGCGTGCGCGGCCCGCGAGGTCCTGCCCTCCCGTCGTGGCCTTTCAGTCCAGACATCGTGGCCGCCAGGACGAAGTTATGCAGCTGGCAGTGAGGCGAAAAGGCGCGATCCACTACTTGTTAAGGAACTACTCGCAAATGGCCTGGATCCCTCGCCGGGGCTCTACGATACACTACATCAAAAAAGACACGTGTTTTTTTTTCGGACGTTTGCGAGTAGGCACTGTGAGGCGACAGCGCGATCCCTGAGCAGAGTGCGAGGCAGTCTGGGGCGAACGACCGAACGAACGAACGACGCGCGACTAGCCCCCGCAAGGGGACGGGCCAGCCAGCGGCCTGCGCGGGGCGGCCATGGCCGCGCACTGTCAGCCCGCTGAGCTCCTTTGCGATGATATCAAGAGATATCGATAAAACGGTCCTCCTGCAGATCCCGGCATGCCTTGTTTAGTGCTGTCGTAAGCCATGTGGCGTCACCAGGCTGCCACACATGAATCATCAACGTGGTATTGATGCGCGATTGCTGCAAGCATGCGCGTCCAGAACATCGCACTTGTCGTCGAACGGGCGTTGGGACATAAGTTGGACACGGTGCGGACAGACGTGCCTACATTTGCAAAAAATGTTGCCGACGCTGCAATGGATTCGTGAAAACTCTTCTGCGCTAGCCACGCGATTCCCATACAAAACCCACGAATGATCGTTCTCGTGCCTGTTTCGCCAGCGCTGGCTTGGCTTGTCCATCCTGTGGTGACCTCGTGGGCACTTGTGAGTAAATCCCCAAATCTTGTTGAACGATGCGCTTCCTTGATCTGCTCCTTTCTTTTTTTGGCGCGGCGCAAGCAGCCTAATCTACAGCCGTTTGACATTTATGTGCGAAGAAGATGGGCAACTTCCTTCGAAGCCTCGTCGAGCGCTATGGCTTCTGCTGCAGACACGCTGCAAGGCGGGTGCAGAAACGTGCCGTGCACCATCAGGGGCTCATACGTGTAGCCTCCTGGCCCTCCGGCCCACAAGCCGATTATCCATGCAGCTGCGGCGCAGTCGCCCTCCTGGACGCCGCCGTCGGTCTGTATTACTACACTCGCGCTGCTCAATTTCAGAGCGGTGTCGAAGACTGCGGACCAAGACCGCTTGAGGTCCATCATGTGGTCCGCGAGTCCGTCCGCCACTTTATTGTGGCAGCGCCCCCACCATTGCACTGGGTCCTGGTGTGTCTGCGGAGGGCACCAGCAGTGTTGGAGGTGGCCCACAACTCTATCTAGCACTCGAGTGACAAGGGCTTCGAATTCAGGGTCACGTAGTTGCGCGCGGCCGCAAACAAGTTGCGCTATGATTTGTGAGCCTGTAGCAAATGCAAAACGACGCTCAGATGGTCCTCACAAAACTTGAAAGGAAACTGTACCCTTTATCTGCTTCTGCCATCCCTTGTGACTCGTATGCCGCCCTCTGAATTGCAGAAGCCCGAACACGGCCCACATGATCCCGAACGATCCTATGAATGTTTGTCGCTGCATCCTGCTGCTGCTCCTCAAACTGTGGCTCCAATAGCTGCCATAACGCACGATGCGAGATGTCATGCACATGACTCGATCAGATGGGAAACACTCCCTTGGAGGGTCGATAGGAAACAAAGAACATTGTCCGGCAAACATAATACTGAAGTCAAGCGCTGCTCCAAACTATTCAACTTTTAAGCTGAACCTGAATAATGACCTGGCGATGCAAGTGAGGAGGCATCGTGAAATGTGTTACCTCGCGGCGGTAATGCGTCAATGTGATGCGTCAGCTCCTCCGAATGGCAAGACGATTTGCGTACAGCGACGCGTCGATCTCTGAGTTTTCTGGCTCTTGGTCGAGGCATGCTTTTACAATTCTCTGCTTCACAAGGTCGCCAGTACTCGACAGCGTCACGAGGAAGGGCCATTTCCAGCGAAGTCTGCTTGAACATTGCTGCCACGCTGTCGTGAGCCAAACTGTCTTGAACCAAACTTGAGCCAAGCTGTCTGGAGCCACACAGCCGCCCAACGGCTGAGGCGAAACGGCTGCCAAACAAAACGATCTCGGGGGAGAGTGGCCCTGGGCTCCGCGCCCCCCCGGGTATGACTCGTCCGTGGTCCTTGTTGTACCTCGATTGTGAAGGGGCCCCGGGACACACAAGTGAGTAGACACAAATCCTAGGATTCCCCATATTCTCCCAACTTTTCTGGGCCTTCGTCCCCCCCCCCCGCTTCACACATGCTCCCGCATGTTCCCAGGAATCGACGCTCATTCGGAGCCCCCGGCGCAACCCTGCCAGGGAAAAGTGTCACGCCGTCGAAGGCCTGGGCCTTCCATCCTCCACGGGGGCCCGCGCGGCGCGTGGCCTGTGCGCCCGGGGCTGGTGCGCTCGAAGGCCCGCGGTCGCCCCAGGTGAGCCGCAGAACCTCTCGGGCCGCTCCCACGGCGGGCGGCGGGCAGGGCGGCGGCGGCGAGGAGAGCGGCGGGCTGGGCGGCGGGGCGCCGGCGGCGGCGAGGGCGGCAGCGGCGGCGGAGAGGCCAGTGGTGGCGGCGAGGTCTGCGCTGGCGGAGGCGAGGGTGGCGGGAGGACGGAGGAGGCCCCCGAGACCTGTGCAGCACCGGCCACGTCCCAGGCCGTCCCTCGTGTGCCCGCGTCCTCCCTCCCCTTTCTCTGGCCTCCCCTCTCTTCCCATCGCCCACCTGGGCCACAGTGTCTCCCCCACTCCCTCTCCATGTGTATGTACAGACGTGTGTGTGTGTGTGTGTGTGTGTGTGTGTTTGGGTCGTTCTTTGTTTATTTATTATGTGATTTTTTTCTGTCTCTCTCTCTCTCTCACTCTCTCTCTCACTCTCTCTGAACCCCGTTCTCCCACAAGAATCACAGACATACCGGTTTTATGTGTATACATGCGTATCATGCATGTAAATGCATGTGTATATATTACACATTTATATGTCTGTGCTAAGTATAAACGTATATGACACGAATACTGTTTGCACTTAAGGTTCTTACTACTCTTTTGAAGGAATTGGGCTTGACAGTCGGTCTGGCGGCTCGGTGGTCGCCGTCGCCGCCCCGTCGCTGCCTCGTCACCGCTCGTCGTCTGGGCCTGCGTGCCAGTCTGGCGGCTTTGCTGTCGCCGTCGCCACCCCGTCGCCGCCTCGTCGCCCGTCGTCTTGGCCTGAGCGTCGGTCTGGCGGCTATGTTGTCGGCCTCGCCACCCCGTCGCCACCTTGTCGCCGCCCGTCGTTTCAGCCACATGGACTTTCGATTCCAAAAAAAGGAACTGATTCGGCCACCCTTCCGTTCGACCCCCCCAAGCCTTTCGAAGATAACGCAAATTGCATACGGGCTTGGCCCATCGATCAATTTCCATATCAATCCGTATCATTACAATCGATCCGGTACCGACTGTCTTCTTCATCCGTGACAATTGATACTACGCGCGCGTATACGGTCAAATAGAATCACTAACTTCCGACAACCTTTTGCAACACATGGAACAACGAGCGCACGCGCGCGGCGTCGCGCGCGCATGCCGCAATCGTTCAAAACCGTATGGTCTCTATGGAGTCTGATTCCGTATGGATGTAAATTTCGTCAATATTTCAAGATCGAGGAGCCCGAACACATATTAAACAAGAGACAGTTTTGCAACGCGGCTCGTTGATACATCTACGACACTGCTGGCCTCGTGTGATTGTCAGTTCGTTTGTTAGGAACAAGGATTTGACATGTAAGACCATGCGGGTCTCTCGCGCGCGCGCATGTCGAATTCATTCGAGCGCTTTTGCGAGTTGCTGATGGGCACGACCCCTGTCAAATCATACCTTGACGGCCGCTCGCGCGCGTCGGCCGCACGCGCGCGTCGGCCGCGTCGAACTCCTTACAAACATTCATTCCCGACGCGTTAGCATCATCATCGTCATCGGCATGATCATGCCGTCGTAATCGCGAACATCGTCCCAGCCATCGTTCCTACCATCATCGTGCTCGCCATTGTCGGCGTCAAAATGATACAACGCCCGCCCAGAACACCGACTCGCACTGAAGCGCCCGCGCGCCACCAGAGCCTGCGAAGCGCGCTGGGAAGTCCCCAGCGGTCAGCACCACCGCGGCCGCGTCGGCCGCGCCAGACTAGCTGGTTGCTTGCACGCGCGAGCGCGGCCACAGCGATGCGCCAGCCAGCGCCAAGCAGTCACTGCAATCACCACGGGATTGGTTTTGCAAGCCAAGCTGCGAGTGGGCGGGTGGAATGATTACTCCAACAGTGGAGTTGTCAATTTCAAATGTTATCGGTTATCCAGTCTACAGAGGTAAGCAAGATCTCCCCCTCCGTTTTGTCGGTCCATCCTGGGGATGTGCAATTTACAGATGATGCTGCCCCGTCGCTCGTTCGAGCTGTAAATTACAACCCTCCTTGCCAGGCCAAGTTCGACCCCCCTACCACACACGCACGCATCAAATGATACTATGCGCGCGCACTCGTGCACCACAAGCCATCAGTTTGCACAGACCCCTTGCAACGCATGACGTGCACACTCCCGCGTCGCCCCGCGCGCATGCCCACAGCCCTCGCAAGCGCGTGATTTCGCGCGGGCCTCAGGGCCGAGGTTCCCGACAACAGATAACCCCACACCTTATGAAACACATGGTGATTCAACATGTTCTTTACCATATATGTATATATGTATATATGTATGGAAAAAAAAGAGAAACAAAAACCTTTGCGCGTGCGCCCTTGCAAACTCTTGCGCGGACCGTGGGCGCTTCCGCCTCGCACCAGGTGCGACCAAGACGGGGCCTCTCGCGCGCGCGTGCCGCAGCCGCTCGGGCGCCATGCCGCGCGTGCTCGGGGCGCGCGGGGCGCGAGCCCCTGCCCACAAGTGCCACGCGGGCCCCTCGCGCCCGGCGGCCCCGCGCGCGCGCACGTCGAATCCCTCTTCGAAAACCATCACACGACCGACGCGAGCACGCGCTCACGCGCCGGCGCGGCCCGCGAGACGCGCTGGGCAGCCCCCGGCGCTCGGCGCCACCGCGGCCGCGCCGGCCGCGCCAGACCAGCTGTCCGCTTGCACGCGCGGGCCTGCCCGTGCCGGCGCGGCCGCTGCGAGGCGCCGGCCAGCGCCAGGCAGCCAGCGCAGATCGCCACCGCACAGGTTTTGTAAACCAGCTCGCGGGTGGGCGGGGTGGGATGGTTGCGCGAGCAGTGGAGCTGACAACTCGCTAGTGGGCGTTCGTTGGCACTAGTTGGGTTGCACTACGCATGTGTTGCACCACGTAGGTTGCCAGAAACATGCAACGTGCAAACTAGGTTGTGCCTTCTAAGTTGTGCAGTTCATGTTGAGGATGACCGATCGTTCAAATAATGTTGGTGTTGGAATGTATACTTGTCCCGCGCGGTACCGATAATTCTGGGGCGGGGGGCTTGCAATAGGGGGTGCCGATATGTGTGTTTGATCAGCTGGGGAAAAAAAAGAAGATACATAGAGCAGCAAACGTGGTGCAATCGTGCTGGTGCAATGTATGCTGTGTATTCGATGTTGTGCAGTCTACGTGGTGCACTGCGCGTGCTGCAACGTGTTAGGCCATCATCTTTGTTGGACGACGGGCGGCGGCGAGGCGGCGACGGCGACAGCATTAGCCATCAGGCCGACGCTCAGGCCCAGACGGCGGGCGGCGACGAGGCGGCGACGGGGCGGCGGCGGCGACCACCGAACCGCCAGACCTACGGTCAAGCACGGACGACGGGGCGGCCACGAGGCGGCGACGGGGGCGGCGGCGGCGACAGCACAGACCGCCAGACCGACGGCCGACGGCCGGGCCGCGGGCCTCGGGCGGCGACGGGGCGGGGACGGCGGCGGCGACGTCGGCGGGGCGGAAACGGGGCGGCGACGGCGGCCACCGAGACGCCAGACCGACGGTCAGACCCTGTTCCTTAGAACGTATATATATAAATAGGTTAGAATTGATGCCTATGTTTGTATAAACATCCATATATCTATACCTGTCCCAATCTCAGACTCACTCTCTGCTTTTGTGTTCTCTCTTTCGTTTTTGTTATGCTTTTGTTATGTCTCTCTCTCTCTCTCTCGCACCACGCGCACACACGCCCTCCACATAATCAATCGTTCCCCCAGTGTGCCTACACTGAGGGGGGTCCTACTCCGCTCCTCGGAGGAGCTGCATGGGCCAGCCGAGGCTCCCGATGGTGCTCGGCCCGTGGGCGACCGCGGGCGGCTCGCAGGCGCCTCGATTGGGAGGAGGAGGAGGAGGAGGCAGGGAGGAGGAGAAGGAGGAGGAGGAGGAGGAGGAGGAGGGGGAGCAGGATCAGCCGAGGATTCGCACCGTTCCCGCCCGCGGGGCGCCGCGTGGGCGCCCCGCGCCCGGCGAGGTCGCGCCGAGGCCCCGCGCGCGGCCGTCGTGCCCGGTGGCTCGGCCGAGGCCTCGCCCGGCGGGCGCCTCGTGGGCGCCTCGCTGAAGGGGCCCTGGGACACACACACACACACACACACATGCGCGCACACACATATGTATATATATATATATATATACACACACACACGCAAATAACAGGATGCCCCATACTTTCCCATATGTTCTGGGCCTTGTGTCTTCCCCCCCCGGTCCCCATGTCTTCCCGCCTTTTTCCTGGGGCATCGACGATGCATTGTGCCAGTGTGCTCGTTTCCCTCCTGAGCCTCGTGCGCCCGGTGGGCGTGCCGAGCCTGCGCCTGAAGCTCGCCCGGCGGGCGCACCGCGCGTCGCGTAGGGGGCGGGTCCCAGGGCTTGCGCCCGGTGCTCTTTCCGTGGCCGCCTCGTGCGCTGGGAGGCCACACGGATTGCACCGCGCAGCTTTCCCGCGTGGCGTTTGCCACACAGCTTGCGATACAGCTGCTGCACCATGTGAGCTTGCACGTCCACCGTGGAATTCGCTGGGTGGCCACACACTACCAGCCTGGAACATATACCTATCCCTAAGCTGGGCATCGCCTCATCACGATGCCAATCTCAGGGGTTCCCTCAGTTTTTCAGGGCGCATCCATAAGATTGTCATCGCCTGTTGGCGTGTCAGTCTTAGGGATGGGGATAAGTTCGAGGCTGGTGAACACGGATCGCACCGCGCAGCTTTGGCGCGTGGCGTTTACCACACAGCTTGCGACACGGCTGCTGCACCGTGTGAGCTCGATTTTCGACCGCGCAGCTTGCATGTCCACCGCGGAATTCGCCGACCCCCGCTCGCCGGGGGCGCAGGGGCGTGCGGGACGACCGGCTGTCCCGCTGCCCCCTTCCCCTCCCCCCGGGGGCTCGGACTCCGATGAGAGGGGGGGAGGGGCGGCGCCTTCGAGTCTAGACTCCCTGGGGTCTCTGGAGCCTCCCCCTGGGGCTTGAACTCCCCCTGGGGTCTCTGGAGCCTTCAGGTCT